GCACCTGCGCCGCCATCTCTGCTGACAACTTCGGCAGCACGCGAGACACGAACTCGTGGCCGAACCTCCAGTCCTTGTCGCGGCCGCGACGGGCAGCGCGAAACAGCGCGCCAAGAGAAGATTCTTTCTCTTGCAGGAATTCTGCGCGGCGGCTTGCCAGCAGGGCAACAAATCGGTCCACTTGCCGCTGCAGCGCCGGCCGAAACGCCAAGCGCTCGCCCTCGCCGGGCTCGCAAAGCATGGCCTCCCACTCGGCCAGCTCGTCCTTCTGCCCCTGTGAAAGCTTTGGGTAACAGCGGCGCATGAAATTTTGACCGAACTTGAGGCCTTGATCATTTTTCACGGCGTGCACTTCAAACAAAGACTTAAGCGAAGGCTTCTGCAAGCTCTGGAAGTACTCGGCTCGATCTTCGAGCAGAGCGATAAACTTTTCCAGCTGTCGCTGCAGCGGCGCGGAAAAAGCAAGCGCTGCCCTCGCCAGGGCCCACAAAAAACAGATGGCCATGCCCCTCGGCCAGCTCGTCATTTTGCTCCTGTAAAAGCTGTGGGTAGCAGGAAGCATGAAATTTTGGTTCCGAACTTTGAGTTCTTATAATTTTTACGGGCGGTGGCTTTCAAACAAAGCTTTAAGCGGAAGGCTTTTTTTCTGCAAGCTCTGCAAGTACTCAGATCGATTTTCGAGCACCGCGATAAACTTCGCCAGCTGTCGCTGCAGCGCCGGCCGAAAAGCCAAGCGCTCGCCCTCGCCAGGCTCACAAAGCATGGCCTCCCACTCGGCCAGCTCGTCCTTTTGCTCCTGTAAAAGCTGTGGGTAGCAGCGAAGCATGAAATTTTGGCCGAACTTGAGTTCCTTATAATTTTTCACGGCGTGCGCTTCAAACAAAGCTTTAAGCGAAGGCTTCTGCAAGCTCTGCAAGTACCCAGCTCGATTTTCGAGCACCGCGATAAACTTCGCCAGCTGTCGCTGCAGCGCCGGCCGAAATGCCAAGCGCTCGCCCTCGCCAGCGTCACAAAGCATGGCCTCCCACTCGGCCAGCTCGTCCATCTGCTCCTGCGAAAGCTGTGGGTAGCAGCGAAGCATGAAATTTTGGCCGAACTTGAGTTCCTTGTCGGTCTTCGCTGCGTGGACTTCAAATAAAGCTTTCAAAGACACCTTGCGCAAGCTAATAAAAAAATCTGCTCGTTTCTCAAGCAGCGCGAGAACCTTTCATACTGATCTTGGAGCTCTGGCTGCGCTTGCTTGGGCGACACGCACAGCCGAGCCTCCCATGCCCGGAGCTCCTCCCTCTGCCCCTCTGTAAAAGCGTGGCCCTGTCTCTGAAGGAACCGGTATAAGGCGGCCCTGTCTGGAATGGCCGGCTTGCCTCGCCTGGCCTCGCCAGTGCGCAAAAGCGAGGCCATGTCTTGGCACTGCAGCTGTCGCAGTTCTGCGGCGTTTGCCGCCAGGTAGGTCAACAGGACCTGAAAGCGGTCCTCACTAGTGTTGCTGTCATCGCGATCCATGGCGCGAGCAGCCGGCCGAAACGCCAAGCTGCCTGAGTAGCGGGTGCGCAAGCGGCCGGCCGAAGCACCAACCTCTGAAAAAAAGTCGTATGCGTTGTTGATTTTCTGAGTAGTCTGTAAAATGTCCCCCTGAGGGGAAACACGGGCGCCACTAATACTGCTTACAGACTGTGACTCTCTGCACAACCAGAACAACACAAAACAACATCCCTTGGAGCGCTTGACTGACTGTGGGGTTGAGTAAAGTGTGACAAGTTGCGTGGTCAGGTGTGAGGTGTGCCAAATGCCCAATTCACGAAAGTAACTACATTTGAGCCAACGTTTTCTGCATCTTGCCATCCCCCAGCTCGCAGAGAGTGCTTGCGAAAGTGCTGCGCCTGCCACGAAATCGATACTTGACCTTGCGAAAGTGCTGCGCCTGCCACGAAATCTATACTTGGCCTTGCGAAAGTACTGCGCCTGCCACGCAACTCAAACCTTGCGAAACCTTCGCGCGGCCGTGCCAATGGGCCCGTCGCCGAACCCGTTCCGAGACCGTTTAACCACCGTTCCGAGACCGTTCCGAGACCGTTCCGAGACCGCCGCCGTACAGGCGTCGCAGCCGAGGTGGTTTGCGCACAGTCCGGAAGCCCAATTCACGCACAGCGCCAACGTTTTCTGCATCTTGCCATCCCCCAGCTCGCAGAGAGTGCTTGCGAAAGTGCTGCGCCTGCCACGAAATCGATACTTGACCTTGCGAAAGTGCTGCGCCTGCCACGAAATCTATACTTGACCTTGTGAAAGTGCTGCGCCTGCCACGAAATCTATACTTGACCTTGCGAAAGTGCTGCGCCTGCCACGAAATCTATACTTGACCTTGCGAAAGTGCTGCGCCTGCCACGCAATTCAAACCTTGCGAAACCTTCGCGCGGCCGTGCCAATGGGCCCGTCTCCGAACCCGTTCCGAGACCGTTCCGAGACCGTTCCGAGACCGTTCCGAGACCGCCTCCGTACAGGCGTCGCAGCCGAGTGGTTTGCGCACAGTCCGGAAGCCCAATTCACGCACAGCGCCAACGTTTTCTGCATCTTGCCATCCCCCAGCTCGCAGATGAGGATGTGGGACGCAGCACTTGCGAAAGTGCTGCGCCTGCCACGAAATCTATACTTGACCTTGCGAAAGTGCTGCGCCTGCCACGAAATCTATACTTGACCTTGCGAAAGTGCTGCGCCTGCCACGAAATCTATACTTGACCTTGCGAAAGTGCTGCGCCTGCCACGCAATTCAAACCTTGCGAAACCTTCGCGCGGCCGTGCCAATGGGCCCGTCTCCGAACCCGTTCCGAGACCGTTCCGGAGGACCGTTCCGAGACCGTTCCGAGACCGCCACCGTACAGCCGTCGCAGCCGAGGTGGTTTGCGCACAGTCCGGAAGCCCAATTCACGCACAGCGCCAACGTTTTCTGCATCTTGCCATCCCCCAGCTCGCAGAGAGTGGACGCAGCACCTTGCGAAAGTGCTGCGCCTGCCACGAAATCGATACTTGACCTTGCGAAAGTGCTGCGCCTGCAACGAAATCTATACTTGACCTTGCGAAAGTGCTGCGCCTGCCACGAAATCTATACTTGACCTTGCGAAAGTGCTGCGCCTGCCACGCAATTCAAACCTTGCGAAACCTTCGCTCGGCCGTGCCAATGGGCCCGTCTCCGAGACCGTTCCGAGACCGTTCCGAGACCGTTCCGAGACCGTTCCGAGACCGCCTCCGTACAGGCGTCGCAGCCGAGGTGGTTTGCGCACAGTCCGGAAGCCCAATTCACGCACAGCGCCAACGTTTTCTGCATCTTGCAATCCCCCAGCTCGCAGACAGTGCTTGCGAAAGTGCTGCGCCTGCCACGAAATCTATACTTGAGAAAGCTATCTACGTGTTAAGCTGGCTATATGTCAAAGCTATCTATCTGTCATGCACTATTGGAAAGCTATCTATCTGTCAAGCTAGCTATATGTCAAAGCTATCTATCTGTCATGCAAGCCTATTGGAAAGCTATCTATCTGTCAAGCTAGCTATATGTCAAAGCTATCTATTTGTCATGCAAGCCTATTGGAAAGCTATCTATCTGTCAAGCTAGCAATATGTCAAAGCTATCTATCTGTCATGCAAGCCTATTGGAAAGCTATCTATCTGTCAAGCTAGCTATATGTCAAAGCTATCTATCTGTCAAGCTAGCTATATGTCAAAGCTATCTATTTGTCATGCTAGCTACCTGTCATAGCTATATGTCAAAGCAGCTAGCTCATTTAGTTCCAGTACTACGGAAGTTTCTTGTTAAACTTCCTTTGACAATATTTACATGAAACCCGAAACCCAATCTCTCCAACCAGCAAGCCCCAGCCCAAAACTACTGAAAGAGAAACCACCTTGTATAGGAAGATAACAAATGAGAAAGGGTAAATTGTCAGAGAATAGTTTTTGGCTGATAATTGGGCTAACTTACCTGAAGGTTTAGTTTCAAACAAACTTCTTACATTGTTGGTTGTGAAGGGTGGTGTAGACTGTAACAAAATATGATGCTTTAAGAGACCCGCAAAGGAAATGGAAACCTTCAGTTAGCGATGATGTTGGTGAACAGTGTAAGGAGTCCGATCATGTCAATTACAAAGTATCACCACGCGATACACAACAAACAATTAGAAGGCGATGAGGCGTTTGTATATGCATTGAACCCATCAGCAAAAAACATGAAACCAACAAGAATGTATGTTGATGAACATCAATATTGACATGTGTGTTAGAGCAACAACAAAATATGACACTGGCATTGGAACATGTAATATTGTATCCAATCATATATCATAACAAGTAAAGAAGAACTACATATTACAATTGAGAAGATGGGCAAAAATGAAGAGTTCAATAACTCTAGTTAAAAGACAACTTGTGATGATAGACTGTATTAAGTTTGAAATTTACAGCACTACCAAATATGAAATTTGAGTTAGTTTGGTCTAATTATTTGATTATAGTTTTTGTAAATCTTGATAACCTTTTATTTTACTGTGATTTTGACCTACTACCAACTTTCAATGACAACATCGATGTCAAAACAATACGCCACCAAACTTCCCAGACATAATAACTACTAAAAGACCTACCTCATTGGACACGACAGCACGTCCCTCCCTGGCCAACAATGAAACAGGGAACCAATTGACCAAATGACCACCTCTAACAGAACAATGTATAAGCTCCCCAAAAACACCCTTTTCAAGTCAAATGATAGGGAACACACATTGAGAACTGCCATAAAAAACATTACCAACAGCCCACCCCCCAATTTCGCCCTTTCCGCCCCAACTTTTGCGCCTGTAATTGCGTTGTCCCATCTCCAAAACCTCAACAAAGCCTCAAGGGACCAAAAAGCAGGTCACCCTTAGTGGTTTGGATTGGTTTGCAGATTTGAACGCCTGGTTGAAGCTGAAACATCATTCGTTGGGGCACCGTTGGGGGGTTGCCTTTCGGCATAGGACAAGTTCCAGGTGAACAGCGCAGGCCGGCAGTTGATCATGGCTTCGTCGGCGGGTTCTTGGGTGTATCCCTTCAGGAAGCCTGCTTTCCAACTTCCATCAGGCTCGAGCAAGCTCTAGCTTGCGGCGCTAGGGCAGACTCAGTTTTCGGCGAGCGCTTGTGGAGTGCGCTTGTGGCGGATTTGATGCTGTTGCTTGTTCTCGGCCATACGCCCATTCTTTACCGAACACAATACATAAGCTTACTAAAAGCAGCTCATTGCGAAGCGGCAAGAAGCAAGACTTGGGTTGGCCGGGGTTCAGTCACCTGAGGCTAACGGAAGCCATCATTCCATTGTTCAAAGCATTCCCTTCCCCAGTGGAAGCCAGCCTCGTGCCACCTCAGACTTCAGAGAAGCCAGGGACTGAGATTTGGAGAAGTTGGGACGGTGCCCGGCCTCCCGCGGGCGGCCGCACGGTGCGGGTGCCGCCCGCACCAAGTAGTGGGACCCACCCCGCCTGGGAAAAACACTGGGCATTTGAGTTCCTTGTGCCACTCAAAATCTATGGGAAATGTTGCTCAGGCGGGGGTTGTTGGAGGAAATCTCCACCTCGGTTGAGATGTTGCAAGGCCAAAAACCCTTCTTTTTGGGGTGTGTTTCAAAGGAAATCAAAGGGAAGCCAGTTTTGTTGGGGGGTTCTGCTATTTGGAGACAATCCCATGGGAACAAAAACTCGCCGGGTCGTCTTACGCCCGTCTTCCCGTCCGTGAGGCAGCCAAATCCTTTGGGATGAACTGAACGAGTGCCGTTCAGCGCTGGCCTCGGGGTTCCGTTTCGCATGATGACATGGTGTGCTAGTTGCACTTCTGGTGTTTGACGCAGTGGCTGAAGCATGCTGAACAGCCAAAGAGCCTACAGCATGCTACTTGGAGCATAGGAGTCCCAAGATCCGGACGCTTGCTTAACACGCTGCTTGACTGCTTGGCTGCCCAGTTTTCTCCAGCCTGGTTGCGAATGCTCCGGTTTGGGACCATCGCCGACAGCCACCGGGAACCTTCGGGGGCAGCCTTTTCTTGGTGGCCCCCAGCCGTCCCCTCAGCCTTTTTAGCCTAGTGTTTAGTGGTTGGATTTGCATGTAACCCACTAAAAGTGAGTCACTTTTAGCGGGGATCTGAAAACGGACAGCCCAGTTTTGTAAAGTCCAGGACTGCAAGAAGCCAGGCATCAGGGAAACCAACTAGCAGGGATACAGGGGGAACCAGGGATACGGGAGGATTCCCCTAATGCACCTTGACCAAGTTTAGGGGAAATGGCGCCAAGGGAATCCCCCCACATCCCCGCTCCCTCCGTATCCCTGCTTGTTCGTTTTGTCCAACAATGGCTTGAAATTAACAACAGAGGCCTGGGACTCTGGATTGACTCAGGCAACAGGTTATATTACTGAGCATGAGGCAGGCGATAAGCCAAGGTATCCCCAACAGCAATCGGAACCTTTGCAACAAACTCCCTTCCTGAACCCTTCCGAATCCAGCAACTGCCGCATAGCGCAACCTGCCGGAACCCTCCGGACGGTTTCTCAGCAACCATTCCACTGGAACAACGTGGAACTCTCCGGAACCTTACCTTAGAGCTGCTCCGGACCACTCTTCCAGCTGTTGGGGAATACGCGATGGGTTGAAACCAATTTGGGCTGAGTTCAGTCAGTCCAACCCTCGGTCCAACCATATTTTTCAGCTAGTCACAGAATCACATGGCATTCACACACACATTGTCATTTACAGAAGCATTTCCCCCGGGCGCTACTGTTTCGGGATGCTTACCACATTGTTTCGCATGGCCCGGGAATTGTTAGGTTCATTCGAAGTGTCGTGTGCATCCTCTCCCGATTCTCCGGAGAATCGGCTGTCCGTTTCCCAGGTGAAGGATGAGGAGGAGCTGAAGATTATGCAGTGGCTTGGCGTGAAGACCGCTTCAGAGAAGCGAGGGTGTTGTCTCAGTCCAAAGCGAATCGACCTTTTGACCTTTTGGTTTTCCCCAAAGGTCAACCTTAAACATCTGGGTCCTTTGACCAACCGAGTGGTTGTTCCCTTTGCAGGGTAATTAGTTTGGACCTTCTTGGAGAGCAGGACCAACCAAAGCCTTTAGGGCGCTTGTGGCCATGTGGGTCATATGGGCAGCTGTTCAATTCCCAGAGGTTAAACCATAACTGCTTGAGTGAAACTAGGCCAGGAAATGACCAACACGTGTGGTGGCGTCCAACTGAGCATTGCAAGTTGAACTGGCAAATCACATGGCTTTCAACGAGGTGCGTAGTTGCAATATGTGTTTTGAATTGTGGACTCTGGATGGACATCATGGACCGACATGCGCATTGGGATTTGTATCCCATGGGTGCTCCCAGCCTCGTAACTTTGCAGCCCCGCCCTCAGCTCGCCCGTTTCAGTCAGGTGGGTCAACGACGTGTCCTCGGAGGCGCACGTGGACACCATGCGTGCCGTGAAGGGCGGCCAAAGAGAGCACCTTGCGGAGGCAACCTTCAAGTACAAGGCGGGCACGCGCCAAAAAGGCACCAGCTTTCGCCTTGGTGGTTTGGATTGCTGGTTGGGAGCTTAGGGGGTATAGTTTCCCCTTTGCCCCCTACAACAACCAGGGGTTCAAGTCCCCAACTACCAATCCAAACCACCAATTCAGCGTAACGTGAGTGGGTCATAATAATGGATACTAACCGTTTACATCAGCATGGGTACACCTGCAACCATTGTGAGTGGATTACAAGTAAGTTGTGACCAGGGCAGCCACCCGGGGTCAGCGTAATTTTGCCATAACCGTGGGAGTAGAGGAATCACCACAGGCAGCAGGAGCCACCGAAAATTACAGCTCGGCTCCCGGGTCTCAAGCCCCAGATCGGCCAAGAATTCGCTTTGAACAGCTAAGGCAAAGGGGGCGGCAAGTTGTGTTATGTTTTGTTGCGGGTGGTTTGAGCTTCCATTCCTTTTGTGTGCATCAGTTGGATGTACGATTCCGTTGTTTTCCTTTGTTTGTGTTCCCTGCGATCTATTATTAGTCGGGTTTCAGGGTTTTAAAGATTTCCACTTGGGTCTTTGTACCAGGCACAAAGCATTGAATCCATTGAAGTGCACCAATTGAGTTCAATTGTTTTTTGGACTCGTCAATTCTTTCCCAAGGCCATCATTTACTTACTCGGGAGAGCCCCTGTTCTTGAGCGCCCCGAACGAATCCGGGTTATGGGGAACATGACCCATCGATGCATGTGCGGACGACTCTGGGGGTTGGTTGGTGTTTTAAAGGGGAGCCAACACGAAGCCACCCACTTTGAAGGGAGTACGGATGAGCCGCTTGAAGGTGTGCCTTCCTTTTGGTGGTTGCTCCTTAAATCAACATTGCTGTGAGTAAGCCCCAATGGTGATAGTGTTTATGTTTGATATGAACTCTGGTTGGTTGGTGTTTTGAAGGAGAGGAGCCAAACCGAAACCATATTGAACTACTTGATGTGTTGACAACAACAGACCTGTTGACCATTGCTTCGGATATTTGCATAGGCGCATCTCCTTCGATCCAGTTTGAGGTTTGCCTCCCTTAGACGTTGTCCTGTGTGTGCAGTTGGGAAGTCGTTCGACGCGCTGGGACATGTTTTCGGTGCTCTCGGAGAATTAACCTCCCCCTCTTTTTTGGGAACCCCACGAATTCTTGCCGGAGATGACTTCTCTCTGGACCTTTGGAAGGTGGACCCATGTCTTGCCAGACATTTTTGTTTGGACCTTTGGAAGGCGGACACCCCTTTTTGAGGTGGAGCAAAGGTCCCGGACCCCCAGACCCCCCGGACCCGTGGCTGGGGTAGGCGGCGCTCCGGGGCTGCTTCCGCGTGGGCTACAGCTGCATCTGCGGCTCCGGGCGCCGCACCTCGGATGGATCCAGCGATCCGGGCGTCACCTGGTGGCGCTCGTTGCTCGGTTCTTCGCTTTGGGTGGCATCAGGGACACCCCCCCTGCTTTTGCGAAAGAATCAACCAACCAGTTTATGAAATTCGGGGGGAGGTCCCTCCAAAGTGGTCTGATTCACCACTAAACCCAGGGACACCCCAGGAGTTGGAACTCCTACACGGGGGACCCCCTGTTTTGGGTTCCATGTGAATTTGGGGATGCAAGGATTCACTTGTCTGAGGCTCAAGGGATCCACTCAGTTTGCGGTTTCAGACATGTTGAGACTCGGCGGAAAAACACATGAGGTTCTGAAGGTGATTACGTCTGCTGAGGGCTTGGTGACAGATCCAATCCTGTCAAGGACGAGAGGTTCCACAGGGGTGGGTTGCAGGTTAATTACCTGGCACATCATGGCCTAGATGGCTTTGGCTTCGAAGAAAGGATCAACTTTATGATGGTGTTTCTACCAGATGTGTGCTGACCATGAGGGTGATATCCTGCTGGAAACTGCCCAGCAAATGCCATCAATCTGGTTTTGCCTTTTTGAAGGGGAAACAGCCTTCGGGATTCCTTTTTTTTGGGATCAACGCCCAACTTGACCAGAAACAGACCAAAACGTGCTTTCGGGCGACCAACTCCGAGAGGGGTATTGACGGTATTGATGATAGATGATTGCAGCGGTGTCTTGTGAGCACCCGCTACGGTGCTTGAGTTTAGCGGGCCAGCAGAGGCAGGATTGTTGTGTTTCCAAAAATGAGCAACGGGAGCTGCCAGAGTTGTGATTTCTTGAGTTGTGTTGTGAGCTGTCCTTGATTGCGATACTTTCGCAATCTAGGGCATTTTTGTATGTGCCAACACTGGGTTTGAGGAGGTTGTGCAAAAGAGAGTTGACATGACACTGCTTGCTTGCGACGCATGACCAGCCACATTGAAAGAAACATACTGGCCATGTGGAGGAAACGCCGGTCTTGGCAGTTGAATATCCCAGCAGACCCTTGTTCGATGTATAGGGGGGATAGTCCTTTGAAGGCAGAGACCGCAAGGTAGCATTGCGCACTCGGAAGCACAGGTGTCCTTTTTCGGTGAGTCTGGTTAGAAAATAGATTGCACTGGTTTGCATTGGTTTTATTCCATCTACCAGGGCCATCTATTTTACCCAAAGGACACCTATGACTCGAAGTCGTCTTCGGGTCTTGCAATGAACTGGGCACTCTTGGCCACGTGAAGAGGTGTACATGTGCCAGTACAGTCCAAAGACTTGCTACTTACTTCGGAATAGGATGTTCATGGACTTTTTAGTGGGGAATCTGGACAACCATTGCAGCATGAGCACTTGGTCGTTTGCACTGGAGCTATCCCCTGATGTTGACGCATTGTTAGCGAGCACCGTGTCCAGCAAGGTCCCAGGTCCAGGTTATACTCCAAACGGAAGGGATCCCCAAGTAAGTGGCATATGGTTTCCCTTTCCACCTTTGCAACTCGAGAAAAGGAACCACACCCTGTTGAGAACTCTATCATGGGTCTGAAGCGCCCCCCCCACCAAGAAACAAACGGGTAATCGGAAGCAGTTTCGAACATGGCCGTGCCTTTCTCATGATTTTGTTGGTTGGTGTGGAAGAAAAGCCAGCCATTGTGTTTGATTGCCCAACAGAATACTGCACACCAAGGTGGGGTATTCGGCTGGAGGGGGGGAACCGTTCCTGCCTAAAAGACCACAGTGGTCCTTCGAGACGAGCGAGGTATTGCCGACCTCTAAGTACTGGATGGAGCGGGGATGGTGGCGCACCCACCCTTCCCATATGTCCTTCTGCGGATATCATTGAAATCATGTGTGTGCCCGTCATTGTGCAAGTAGGGAACAAGGGACCCCCTTCAACTATAGTTAACTACCAGGGTCATTTGGTTGGACGTGGGTGGTTCCCTCGAATGTGTTTTTGGAATTCACCGTTTCGTGCAGTGCGTTTTTGTTTGCGTTCGTTTTTTTGTTTTTTTTTTTTTGTTTTTTTTTTTTTGTTTTTTTATTTTGGTTTTTTTTTTTTATTTTGTTTTTTATATTTTTTTTTTTTTTTTTTTATTCTTTTTTTTTTTTGTTTTTTTTTTGTTTGCGTCTTCCACCCCGAAGTTGCTTGAAGACTAGTTTGTAGTGAGTATCCATGGTCACGACCCACATGTTTGTAAGTCCCCTATTAGGTATAACAGACAGGGTGGATGTTAGCACCTGACATACCCTGCCCCTTGCCTGGTTAACTTTGCAGTCGGCCGAACCCATCACATCTAAAAAGTCACCTGTTTGAAGGTGATTTGCTGCCTGGCCCCCGCTGGAATGCTTTAAGCGACCCTGCCCACTGCACTGGCTTGCCTGGGATCCACTGAAGCCAGGAGAAGCCTAGGCCAAGCCCTTATAAGCCCTTAGTATTTGCAACCAAAGTTGGAAACTCCGGAACCCCCCCACAAAAAGCACCTGGTCTCAGTGACCGAATCTGATAAAACAAAAATCTCATGGTACCCCTGGTACCCCAGCCTTTGATCCCAGAAAAAAGCGGGAGGTGAGTTTCAGTTCGGCGCTTTGGCCCGCCGTTTCCGGCGCCCACCGCGGAGGCAACGCCATTCTGCACTACGGCCACGCCGCGGAGCCCAACTCCGAGCAGGTGGCGCCGGGCAGCCTGCGGCTGCTCGACATGGGTCGCGCGTCTGAATTGGTGGGTAAAAAATCGGGTAACCCCAAAATGGCTTGCCCTGGTTAAAAAAAAATGGACTAAAACCTGCGGTCCATTTCCTGGTGGTGTAGTTTTGACCCATGCCCAATTGTCGGAAAAATCCGCCGTTGAGCCGTCGGCTTTTTGGAGGGGCGTGTGGTCGTGTTTGTGGGCGGCTTGGCGCCCAGTTTGGGTGGGTCCCAAAAAGGCCGCTGGGCCGAACCCGAGAAATTTGGGGCCAAGAGTTTGTTTGAAAGGGTGACGATGTTGAAATGGAAGCCCAAAGGAAGCCAGCAAGTTTTGCACAGCACAAGATGCTGGTGACGTCTATAGATGTTGCAGGTTTGCCACTAGGCTTGGGGTTAAAAAAAGAGGTTATCCGAGGACATGTCGAACCACAGATGCCCTTTTGCTTGGTTTTAAAGTGAAAGGAAAAGAAAAGAAAACCAGTCATTTTTTGGGCCGATTCCTAGAAAAGACACACCAAGATAGAAGATGCAACAGCTTTGTTGTTCCGACGGAGTGGGAATTGGATTTGGCTCGCTGCAGGTGCTGAGTACCATTGCTACACCGCGGATGTGACGTGCAGCTTTCCAGTGCGACTTGGAGCCAAGAGAAAGAACGAGGACCCGAAGTGGAACGCCAACGGTACAGACAGGGTTTCCTCCATTCCCCTTTTTGGAACCTCCAAAAGCGTCAGTTTCAATGCAAACCACCGGTAAATTGCAACTTTTGAAGCGGAACTCCAGTGACCCATGTGAGATACAGCCAAGATCAGAGTTGAGTTGGCTACCATCCCAAATTACCTCAGAGAATGAGGTTAGGCCCTTGAATGAATTTGTGTGAAAGGAGGGTGGGGAAAAGGGGGGCGGAAAGCGCGGGGAGGCGGGGGATAAAGGGGCCATACCCCATACATTCGCCCTTTATGAGGAGAGGGCACCATGATTTTCAAGGTAGCATGTTGAACCTCGAGCAGTGCTCGTGACTTTCCCGGGCGAGACAGCAGTTTGGCCTGGCGTTTCCGGGCATTGAATCCTCCGGGGGCCTGGCTCAAGAACTCAGGATCAGAGTTCCTGCGGATGCAATGATCGTCTCAGGGTGCACACCACACTATGAGCAACGGTTTGTATGTGTGTGTGTGTGTGAGTCATAGCTGGTTGACCTGTAAAGCCGTCGTAGAGGGTTCGCGGTCCTTTCGTGTTGAATGGGGCAAACCAGGGCGCCGTTCCAAATGGTTGGTGTTTATGGTGATGCCCCTTCTTTCATAGCCTCAAGGCAAAGGTTTCCCCAATTTGGCATGTACTAAAAACAGGGACCGAGTGAAATCATGAGTCTCTTATTGGGTGTCTTCTTATAGAATGAGGTCCCATTTTTGGGGAGGGACATGCGTGACTCAGTAAACGTCCCAGACAATTTGCAGGAACTCACCAATTCCCTTTGCCGAATGCCAGTGATGTCCCCGAGTCGCACTATCCGGAGTACGAAATAGGATGAGGTATTTTGATCCATTTTTACCAGCCCAGTTCCATGTCAATGTGCGTTCAGGCCGCATATGTTGACGGCTGCGACGCTGGGTTCATTATGTTGACGGCTGCGACGCTGGGTTCATTGGGTGCTGTAGGTCGGGCCGCTTTTCTGAGCCTCAGCGCCTGGTCTACGAGGCGCGGACGGTCCCAAATTCGATGGACCTGTGTGGTGGTTTATCCCATTTGTCATTGGGAGGTCCCACGCTTTCAAGCAACAAAACATCGCTCAGGGGGTCCCTTTCGGTTTGATCTTCATCCAAACTGGCAAAGTGGATATTGTCCACAGTACAATCCCATTTCGGGCATTTCTCAGGGCATGTGACAATATTTCGGGAAAAATATGTTTTTGTTGACTGTGGGGATTTTGAAAGCTTCGAAACCGTTGTTGCATGTTCAGGACAGCCAGAAATTGTTGAACTTGTGAGCCTAATTATGGCAGGCAATATATGACACGGGTTAAAATATAACTACCCATCTTCTCCTATGTTCATGACTTGCAGTGTTCCAGCCTCCGAACCCTACTTGAATTGCTTGCTCGCTTGTACCCACAACTGTCTTAGGGCTTCCTCCCTCCACGGAAAATCTGTTAGCGACAGAAAGCTATTGAAAGGCATAGAATGTCCATTCTGATCAACAGACGAGCGGTAAACCTGAGTACTGAGCTCACCCCATGAAGATTCCTTACTGCAGGATTCCTTGAGGTTGGTGGAGTTTGCCCAGAAGTCTATGAAATCTTACCCCAAAGTAAACGCAGCCAAGGTAAGTTCCTGAAGAAACAAGACGGAGCCTACCTTAGATCAAAACCCAAATAGCAAAGGAACCGGCTTTAAAAGGGTACCTGGTACCACCCGCTAGCGACATACCGGATGGACAAAGTTGGAATGGCCGAACGCCTTTGAATACTGGGATGCTCCTCCTACCAACTGGTTTTGCATCTTTGAAGGGGTTGTGTCCCTGTACTTGAAGTGAGCTATTATTTGGTGTTGTGTTGGCCGTGGAAGACTGAACATTGAGGTAACACTGAATTGGTTTGAACCGCTGGTTCTTGTGGGTAAATGGGAAGCAACCCAACCTCGCCTCCAAACCTCCAATCCAAGCCGCCAAAAGGGGAAGCTGACGTCAATGTGGCTTCTGGTCGCAAGCATGCTTTGCTCACGTGAGCAAAGCTTCCAAACTTTAGCCTCCAGCCAAGCGTCAGCTCGAGCTGGCAAACACTGAGTCCTCAGCTTGGCAACAAATTATCTAGTCAGAAGATGCGGACGGGTCCCACGAATCTGTACCATTTTTTTTGTGTGTGTGTGTGTGTTACTTTTTGGTTTTTCGGGCTCGGCCCTTCCTCCGGTTGCTTCAAGACTCAGAAGCAGGGTTGGCCAAAGCAGCTTTCTCCGCGTGGTGAGGCCAAAACTTCCCTTTGCTCAAGAATATGCTTTATTTTAGCAGTTGGTCTTACAAAGGAGTCTATCACCACTGGATGTTTTTCTACTTCCCCCACTCTTGCCCTGTTGCCCCCTTTCTTGGGGGCAGGGTTTTCCCCTACTAAAAATAGGCTATATACAGAAGAAAACAGTTGGTAGCCTTCTTCTATCCTCACACATCTGGAGGACCTGGTTCCGCTTTTCCAGAGGCCGTCCGCCTGGCTTCCCATGGGCCGGGCGAAGCGAACTTCAGGCCGTGTGGGAGGCCACGCTGGCGGTGGAGCGGAAGCTGCGGCCGGGAGTGTGCTACAAGGAAGCCGAACCGGGGAAGTTCAAAGTGGGTCGCTGAAGCCATAGGGGTCTCAAAATGGGTGAACTCCCTTAAGTGGATGTGTTTCTCTTCTTTTTTTTAAGGAATCCAAAAGGACACCACCTGGAAGGTCCCTTATCTTACTCTTCCAACCCAAAGGCGGCCGTTTGAAGAATATGGGTTTCAAGAAGTAGACCACCGGACCTGCCCGGGAAGGACATGCACCGCCTGGCTCAACGTGTTCTGCTGGAGCGCATGACCACGGCCAAATTGTTCGCCGCTTTGCTACGAGTTGGAACTCAGACGTTGCGACGTGGCTGTGGCTTCAAATAGGGCGGACCCCCCAGCAAAATGCTGGTTTTGCCTGTGGTTTCCTTTACAGCAACCGCGAAAAAAGGGCACTGTCTTCAAGTTGGGGAACCCCCGGACCCCCCCCAAATTTGTGGTTTTTGCCTGTGGCTTCCTTTTCGTGAAACAGGCACATGGAATCACTGGGTAGGGACCCCCAAACCCCCCAAGCCAATCATCCCGGAGGCTGTTGCAGAGGCTTTGCAGCTGCGCAGTCTTTGGAGCTTCTCAGGTTTTCTGCCCAAGGCGGAGGTGCTTCGGACTGGCCCTCTTGCTAATTATGTGGGACTCTGTCAAAACATGTGAAGACTAACCCGCCTTTTGTTTGGCGGGTTCGAAGAAATCCAAAGTGAAGCCAACCTCAACCATTGGACATGGTTTTGAGACAGCCATTGTCGGTGTGTCTCTTCTTGCGGCACTCTGTTTTGGGTTGTCCTTTGAGGGCAATCCACAAGGAAGAGAGGCTTTTGGGTCGCCCAAGCCATTCGCCTGCTTCCTTACAGGTGGGCAGTGTGGATGACATGATGGCAGCAGGCGGGGTGTGCAAAAGTCTCGGACTCGGATCCTTCTTTTTAAGGACCAAGTGCTTAGAGGAATTAATGGGGTTGTGAAAAGAAGGATGGTGGACATGGATTCATCAACTCCCAGAACAGGGGAAACTCACTTGGGAGCAGAGCGTTTGGCCAGTGTTTTGATCGCTCTCTACAATTGATCCAATTTTTTGTTCATTTGACTTCTGACATGCATGATCACCCATTCTATACTCAAGCGTAAGTCTTGCGCTTGGACCATTCCGGGAACTGCGCTTGGACGGGTATACGGTTGATTCCTCCCTGGCATGTTGGCAAGCTGCAGTACAGCGAGTGCGGTGCCAGACATTCTGTCTGATCCGAGTCAAACTGTCTGAAACGTGGGAAGCATTCCTTAAAGCCATTGAGCCTCAAACCCTCCAGATGCCAATCGTCTCTTGGTTTTCTGCATAAAGCAGCTTGACATCAGGCGTTTGACGCATGGCAGGATGCCATCCGTGTGAGCGAGTTATTTCCCCGCGTGGCGAACCACAACTTGGCGGGCCACCCACGCCGAACAGGGTGAACTTGGACATCCCAGTAGTATCGCACCTTTCGATGCCATGTTGGCCATTTTGGGCCTTTCCTCCCGCATTCCTTTGAGTGAGAGGCCGACCAACAACATGGCTTTGGTGCATCTTGCTTGGACGTTAGGACTTTAACTGTTTGCTAACTAATGGGTTTTCCATTAAACCAACAAAAGTTATTTTTTTAGGAGGGGAGCAGAAGGCAAAGGAGACGGCTGGGGTCGCTTCGATGGCTCATACTCGGCGCGTTGCAGGCCTCATGTTCCACTTCATGCCCCACGGCCTTGGTCATCAACTTGGCCTGGACGTGCATGACGTTGGCGGCTACGCCCCTGGAACCTTCAAGAAGGACACCGATCTTTTTTCACATGTGTTTGCCCTGGGGGGTAAAAGGCTTTTAAAGCAAAGCCCGTTACATGAACATCCTTTGTTTGACTAGCTGGGGGATGGGGGCCCGATCTTTTTGCCGGCATGTGGCTGTGGTGGTCAAAACCGTTTTGGGATCCCATTTTGGAAATGGTAGGTGAATTCGCCACCTATTTTTGAGCCGGGATTTTGGTGGGGATTCCAGTGTTCACTGGGGGTACGGGATTTTGACCCATGGCCATGTGTTTACATGTGAATTTTGTAAGCAGCGCCCCTTACCAACTGCAACTACAAGAAGGAATCGCTGATGATGCACGGATGGCTTTGCATTCCCAAAGCAATGTACGCAGCGGGTGACAAATTGTTATCTTGAGTGGCGATGGGCGTGGTGTGTCTCTCATTCTGCGTTGTCTTTGATCCGTTTTGCTTGGATGAACAGCTTGCCCGTTTGCTGTCAGAGAGAGCGGGTGAGCCAGGATGATCCGAAGATGCAGGAGAACTTGCGGCTGGGGAGAGTGCTGAAAGAGAACATGGTGCCGGCTGGCAGGTTTGCTTTGCTTGCATGCATGTTTGGGGCTTCCGACTTGAAACAAACCTAAAGGGTATCCTCGAAATTTCACGAACCCATGGCGATCCCCAACATGGAATTCGGGGAAGGGATGACCTGTCAAATTCGATTCCCAGTTCCGTGTTCCCCTTCGTGGGGAAGGATGGATTCAATTTGCTCATGAAGTTGGGGCAGATCTTGTCTGTTAGCCTTGCCGTCAGGATGGATTTTCCGAGTCGCGCCGTATTTAATCAGGTTGTTTCGACGGTAGCAATAATTTAATTCAATAAGTTCGCGACCAATTTAGCGGCTGCTTTTTCCCTTGTCCCCTATTGGTTTCCATAAATGCTGCAGGTTCGCTTCGAAGCTGACCCGAGTTCCACCTTCGCCCGTAAATTCTTGGGACCCAGCCAAATCCGAGCCCTACTTTGGCTATATGAATTCGGATCACTTTCCCTTCGTTGCCACCCGAATCGTTCAAAACCTCCAGTTCTTGTGGGTGGTGTTCCTTTCACCTCAACAAAGTCCGTAAACCTGGAGGGGCAAGCCCTCCCCCTTGCCCCTGCGACCTTCGTCTGGTCCGGATCGCCTCGCCAGGTGTTGACCGTGGAGCCGGGGTTCTACTTCATCGACTACCTCATCGAGGAGGCGCTCGCAGACCCAGTGAAGAGCAAGTTCATCAACCAGGAGGGCAGGGCGTTCTCTATGCACTCGTCTTTTTTATTTGAGGGTACCCGTTTGGGGTGATGTTCAAGGGAAGCTCGTGGAAAACCTGCCATTTGAGGGGGCCATATGAAAACACACATTGAAGATGTATGGTGGTTATAAACCACTCACGGGGTGCCTGCTGCGCTACAAGCAGAAATTGGGGGTATGCAAGCACCTCTCACACCCATACTTGGACATGCCCTTTTTCAGGGGGTACACATTTCGAGGGATTTCAAAGGGGGCAAGCCGGCAGGTCATTGTTTCTTTTTGGTGGCTGGCCGTGATGGCCATCCTTCGAATTGTGAAGTGCAAGGGTCCTGTCAGCTGGCAACTGGCCTATGGTTCCTTCGCGGTTGAGATGAAGGACCCAAGTTTCCTAAAAGGAAGGCAGAATCGCAAAAGCTTCCCCATTGGGAAAACAAGTACAATTTTCTTCCGGGCTATCTCTCACAACGCCCCCAAGCAATTTGACCTGTGAGCTCTCGGGATGTGTTCTGGGTGTGTGTTGGTGTGCTTGGCTTGCATAATCAAACGGGAATCATGATGCTGAAATTCCTTGTCTCATTTTAAGCCTGGACTGACATGTAGTCTTCCAGAAACCACTTCAAGCCCCCAGGAGACAGTTGGATCATGATTGCCCCAGTTGCTCCAGCTTGTCTTTCTGCAGAGCTTGGCCTTGTTCCAGGAACAATCAATACCAGAGGGAAAGTGAGGTACGCGACAGTCCCAATCATGAATTGGCCACCCAGTCAGTTGTTTACCATAATTTTGGGTAGACATTACCCATGTGAGCGTGTCTCACAATGGCGGGTCCCGTTTTGGATGGCTTCAAAGGGAAGCCACTAGGACTTGGCCGCCCACTTTCCTAGGAGAAGCTGCACGAGTTCTGGCCTGCCGTGGGCGGTATCCGCATCGAAGATGATGCGCCTCGCCTACAGATTTCCCACGAATGGAGCCAGGAGCCAGCTCACAAGTGGTTGGGCCCCTACATGATGTCCACCAACGACGACAATTGGGGTTACCATTCGGACATGGGGGTGACTCGCCAAATTGCCATGTCAGTTAGGCTAGGAACACCATACACGGCACGCTGAGACTTTTGTGCGACTCCTTTTGCGGGTTTGTCATGGCGATCCTCGATTGGTCCAATGTCTCGTTTCGTCCATTTCAAGCCTGCGCGGGCAGCGGAGCACGTTGAACGTACCAAGTACCACTCGCGGAGCCCAACATGTGTACAAGGGCCTTTGGGCGCCACAAGGGTGACCAACGGGCCTGAAATCAGATCAGGGTGAGATGTGCAGTTAATTACTTAAACATTGAGCTAGCCCATGCGCGGTGCGATGGCGCAACCCCACACTCCGAACCCTCCAGGAAGCCGAACAAGATGGCCACACTTCAATTGTGTCTCGTCCATACCTGCCATGTATTTGGATCCCTGTTGAATGTTCACCTCTGTTTTTCCCTTGAACCAAAGCCTCAAATCCCAAACCCCGAGACTCCAATTCAGATGTTTCCCATTTCGGGAAGAACACGGCAAGTCAACCCCAGCCAGCCCCCAGAGACATAGAAAGGTACTTCCCCTCCCCCCTCCCCACAAAACTCAAAATTGCTTCCAGCCAATGAACCCCCCAAACTGCCCGCGGGCGAATCCGATTCCGATGACTGGATTCACTTCAGGTGGTGGTCACTGCCACGGGGTGTCGCGTTTTGACCTGCGTGCCCCGCACTGTGGCGGAGATCGAGGCGGTCATGGCCGGCGCCAACTGGCAGGCGGGGGGGGAAGGGGTTGCGGGCGCCGCAAGCGGCTTGCGGCAAGCGCGGGCACTGGAAACGCCAACAAAGCCTCGTGTTAAGCCACGAAAGGCTTCTTGGGATGGATGCGTGTTTGGCGATGGGCGGTTTCATGGCAGCCACACGCAAGAGGTATCTGGAGCCTCCGGAATTTTGGAGCGCTCTCATTTCGAGAGTTGGAACCCCATGGGGGGCGCACCGGCCCCGAACCACCAGCCTTAAAGGTGAGCGCCGCCTGCTGCCGAAGCTACACCGCGGAGGACTAGCTCAGCGAGTGGCCGGAGGAGGGAGCCTTTGAATGGTGTGGTGTTTGGTTTGGCTGTACTGCTTTGGTTGGGTTGGTAGCACAGACAATGAAATGCAGGCTGTGCCAAGGGAGGCTTACAACTGAAGTATGACTGCCTCAGCTGGACTGGCGTCGTTTTGCTTTAAGTCTTCTAAGAGGCGGCTATGCTTCATGGAAAACATATTGTCATGCCCCAGTATCAGCCCCTGTCACGGGTAACCCCCAATACGCTCTTCATGTTTCGATTGACTTCTTGCGACCTAGGTGGGGTTCATCTTAGAAAAACTCCTTTTCCGGACCTTGGTTTTATGGTGGCTGGTCCGCAAAGCGCCTCCACGTTTTGATAAGCTTAGTTGTTGTTAGCATAGGGTGCTAACAAGAAGTTGGGACTGCAAACAAATCGGCTGGGCGCGATCGGCAGTCGCCGGTACTCCCACGCTTGATCTGAGTTGCGATTGCTATTTCAGGCGATGATTCAGCCTGTCGAGTATCTTTTGACCAATTCTTGCAGCGTTCTTGCGCTGTGGGAGGGTTCAGTGTGCCTGCTGACCACTGTGACTGTGCATTGCCAGAGCTGCAAGCTGCTGTTGAGGGGTGGGTGCGAGTAGAGGGTGCTGAACCAATGTGTTGCTGTTGATTGTGTCTTGATGTCGGCAGGACCGTGTTGCAGGACGCTGTTGCAAAACACTGTGGCAGGGCACTGTTGCAGATTGCGAATCCTTGTTTGCGAGTGCGAGTTCAAAGTGCGCACGGTGCTGTTGCAGGGTGGTTGGTTGAGATGCTGTTGCGCGATGATTCTGCAGGGTGCTATTGCCGAGGGTGCTGTTGGAGCTTGTGATCCAAATGTTGGCACGGTGCTATTGGTGCACTTGTGCAGGTTGGTGTTGGAGGGTGCAGAGCAGGGTGACAGCGCAGAGAGAGGCACCATACCAATTTTGGTACTAGTGGGCTGTTGTAAGTGAATGGGATTTTACGGTTGTCAATCACCTTCCTGTTCAGTACCCCAAATGCAGCTCTTGCTGTTGGGTGCCTATGGTGTAATTTGGTGGCCTCTACCCACCTGTGCCCAGGTGGCAGGTTTTCTCAAGCAGAGGGGCAGACCACCAGCTCTCAAGGGGACCCAGCAGATTCAAGGATTAAGGGATCGTCAGACTGCCCTTGGGGTCCTATTGCACATGTTTGATCTACTCAGGGGATCATGCTTGTGTTTGCGTTTTCTCACTGCGAAAACTCCACAAGTCAGATCTGCAACTGTCATGTAGGGGTGGGTTTTTGTTGAGGGTACCCTTTTCAGACTAGTTTAAGGAGAAGCAAGCAACACCATGAAGCCCATTTTGGGGCTCCAAATCCTTATTTTCAGGGCCATGTGAGAGCCAGCCCTTGGGCTGCCAAGTGCAGCTGCGCCGGTCTGTCCCGGGTTTCAATTGTAGCTCGACCACTTGGTCGACTAGCAGGGCGCATCCGCTGTCAGAGGCAATAGCGTAGGTGAGGAGAGGACACCCCACCTGGTTTGACTGGATCCCCCGAACCGGATTTGCATAGAAGGGTTCTGGGGTATACCAAGCTTGGGGCGTGTGAGACAGTCCTGGCTGCTTGGGCCTTTGTTTTGACAAGCTGACTGTGTGTGTTGACGATTCTTCTGATCTGTGCGTTTCTGCCAATATCTTTCAGACTGACGATGTCAAAGCACGTTGCTTGCACCAAACTGAAAGGATCAGGAACATGTGTTAAAGAGACTCGCCCAGCGGATTAGTAGATGTAATAGCGCGCAGTTTTGAAGCTGCGGCTGGTGGCATATGCCGACCAGAACCATTGCTACCAGGCGCTGTTGGTTCTGGATAGGTGTTTGTTTTATTTGGTTGCCTCTACTACATGATTTCGCAGTGTGTGCAGTCGAGACTGATTGAACGGCTTTGAAGCCAGCCTGAAGACACCAGGCGCCAGAGTCTGGGCAAAATGGAGCTGGGATGCGGTTTGAAGTAGGATGGGGTACTGGGATCTGCTTTGAACATATTTTGCATGTTGACTTTCACCTAGTAGACATGGACTATTTACTGTAATCAAGCTGGCCACGGAACTTAATGAATTCAGTGTTGAATACGACGCCAGGTGCGAATGAGCAACTACGTATGGAACATGAGGGGCATCAAAACAGCACCCGATTGAGCTCATCCCGTCAGGTTCGAGCGACTTCACCAGGGGCCTTTAATTACATATTTCTTGCTCGGTGCCTCGGCATACGCCGTTCATCTACTTGCATGTTTTGAGGGGTTCCTTTTTTGGAGGGTCGGTGCATCAGAACACGCCGTTCATCTCCTTATATCGGTGCTGTTGATGAGTGTTTGTTTTTGGAAGTTCCGACTTATCGGTGCTCTTGCTTCGGGCAACATATTCTAAGTCAGCCACTTCTCTAAGGGTCCTTGCCTTTGGGTTCTTAAAGCAAACCATGTTTTGAGGGTCCAAGATCTAGCTGGACCGTCAAGTTGAAGCCAGTGACTCGCCTCCCTCACACAACCCGGGTCAAGGGCCCACAATCCACCAATTTGCTCCTAAAGGTAACCTATTCTGCAAATAATCTCGTGCGCAAGGTGCTTTGAGTTCTGCCGGTATGCAGCTTACCCTTCTATTATAATATAGTCATCAGCCCTTGACCCACTTCCAAAGATGATGCACTTTTTGTTTGTTTGTTTGTTTGTTTATTTTTTTGGGGGGGAAGTCAGGTAAAGGAAAAGTTTGGACTTCTTCTGACCAATCCACTGAGGAAGTGAGTTGATCCACTGATGAGATGTTTGGGCAGGTTGAGGATTTGTCACACTTGCTGTTTGCGCCAGGTACGATGTGTACTGCCATGCCCGCGATCGCGGCACGGAGGTTGAGGTGGGGGTCACTCCGGATGCAGGCGGGGAAGTAGCTTCGCTGGTTTCAGTGACTGAGAAATTCGCAGAACTGATGCATTAGTAGAGTGTATGCAGCGAAGAATAGATAAATGACTCCACGTTACTCGCATGGTTTTTGTAGCTAGAAATAATTTGGATGATGGCTGCAAGTAAGTAACTAGATATGGTTGGCCTGCAAGAATACAAGACTCTCTTAGATCGTGTAGTTTCTCTACTAAAGAGATCAAGTCAGCCGAGGAGATGCTACTTCAGTTCAAAGAAACTTCTTGCCGACCTGGTGACAGAAAGTCACCATGGCTAGTTTCGCGTGTTTTGATTGTGTAGTTGTGTCGAGCCCTTCAGGGCGGAAAGAGTTAGGGTGGCATGGAATCACCGGGCGAACACTGGAAGAATGGAGCAGGGCAAACCCCAACCTAGAACCCCGTCGGGCCTTCGTATTGTTCGCGGATCAAGTTGTTTCTGGGTTGGTCGTCTGTTTGGTGACTCATGCGCACAGGACCAGTGCCCCGAAAAGCAAGCTATTTGACATGTGTGGCTGAATGCCGAGAGAGAGGGAAAGAGAGAGAGAGAGAGACAGAGAGAGAGGAGAAGAGATAAAATAACGAGAAGAAGCAAGAGAGAGGGAGAGAGAGATAGGCAGAAACCCCAGCTGCTTGTACACCTCCATGTTTGTTTGTTGGAGGGTGATTTTTTGCAAGCTGTTTCACATGACTTGTGGCCTGATCCACCGCAACTTTTCTGGCAGGAAACCCCGGCAACGATGTGGACCATACTCACGCAGGGAGCTTACGGCTAGTGGTCAGCGAGCGACGGGCTGCTCGTGGTAAGGGGTTATTGTGGGGTCTTTTCGACGACACATTCGCTGCACCTTGTGCGGCTGGTGTCAATCAGTCCATTGACTTGTTTTGCTTATTTGCTTGGCCTTTTTCCAGTTTTGACCTCACAAGCAGGAAATGAGTTCCATGGGTCTTTAGCTGCTAGGTCAACACTGTCGGCAAGTGTGGTCACAGCATGTTTAAGACGTCCGGCCGCAAACCAAAACCGCCCAAATCAAGGGATGCAGAGCACCAAAGCAAGCCCCCATTGTGTTACTATTGTGTGTTTTGCTGTTGGTATTAGCTTGGTTTTATCAAGCTTCGGGTCTGGCGCGGGGTGTGGCGGAAATTGGCACCTTTACAAAATATATATATGGGATGCTATTGTAGTTTCTGACAGGGCTTCCATTGAACTCAGTGTGCGGATGTTACTTGTGGTGTTTCGTCCCTTCTGCTAGTACTCATAAAAGAGCTATTTGCTGCTTCAACAACTAGCGGTGTAGTTAGTATGCGCGATGGAGGTGGAATGCACTGCTTACTTCATGCTAGGTGGGCTTCCCAGGAGTGCATGACCGCTTGTCGCTGCTTACAGCTCGCTCGTACCTTGTCAGGAATCGGCTCAAAGGTGGCCGGCCACATCAGTTTTCACATCATGTTTGCCACTTTGCCTGAAGTTTTCTCCTGATGGGATGATGTTACAATATAGGGTCCCCAGCTGTTCACTGAGCATCAAGACGCACTCTCCCACCTTTACGCATCACACCGGACTGAATGATGCGACAGGATTTCCGAAGCAACAAGCAGTTTGACAAGGACATCATCAAACCAGATAGATGAAGGCTAGTCGGGGACAGTTTCAATTAACATGGGTGCATCCACCCGGTTGATATTTTGTGGTTTGAGACGGACCGCATTTTGTGTTGTGACCTTGTGCCCAATTGCTACTTATAGCTTTCAGCACATTCTGAAGCAGACTTTTTTTTGAGCCAAAGAGTCTTCATCATGTACAGCACGCCCTTCCCATGAGTCGGTGGGCACATCCTCGCGAGCATCGCACCCTGGACGAGGAGGAAGGCAGCATTTGGACGCCTCCAGCACTGGACAGGCTGGGCACTGGGCGCGTAAAGCTGACCAGCACAGCGACCCTGTGAGGAGGTACTCAACAGTGTTTAATCCCAGCCAACACAAACCTTCAAGGGTGCTTGGACCTTTTGGTGAGCTCAAACCCAGGACTGCAAGCATCGCAGAGCAAGCGAAGCGTGAATCCACGACGTGTTCTGTGACAGCTCTTTTTCGCAAACTGTTGTGTGTGTGAACCCGATGCCTGGCGTATCCTTTTTCCGTAAAGGTGGTCACGAGACTCGGGCCAATCGCCTGGGCTCCGATTCACGCGCATAGCAAAGCCAATCGTCCAGCCTTCCAAATCCAACGTTCTTTCGAGCGCCCGCATTCGCGAAGGCCTCAAACATTGCGATTGCAGGAAGGCGAGTGAAGTGGTAGCCACTTCTCGGGTCAAATGTCGCCCAAATTCCTGAGGCAATGTCCGACTCTTTGTCTCTGGCAGGGATGGGTGTTGGTCCACGGCTTCCTTCACGTAGAGTCCCAGCTCAAAGATTTCAGCGATGCCCAAGTTTCAGTCCATCGCAACTTGCCAACACGGAGCCCGGGTTTTGAGGCCCTGTTCATCATGCCGTTCCTTTTGACCGATTTCCATTTCTGCCCATTCCGAATTCCAGTTCCGGTTCTTTTTTATAGACACCGAGCCTCCGCCCGTGTACCACATTTCTCGACTCTCAAATAGCAGCACGAAGCAAGAAAAAATGGTCATTCCCAACCAACAAATGCACACTTTCGCTTTTTGGGTGCCCCCTTCCCAGCTCTGGCCGCTGTTCCCTCTGGCTGTGCGAGGCACTGGGGCCACTTCCGGTCGCTTCTGGCAGAGGACGGCATCTTCGAGGCCTTGCGCGAGCTGCGCTTCGCGCCCGGGGATACCTTCGACCGGCGCTTCAAGCTGCAGGCGGATTTCACGGGGGCGGGCGCGGTGTCGGAGTTGGTACCCGTCTGGAGCTCAGGGAAATTGCAAAGTCGGAATCCAGGCTTGGGCCCACTTTGAGACATTCCCTTTGGATGTGAGCCCCAGATGCACCAGGCAGAGTAGGGGTGTTTCCACCAAAAGTGACTTGGATTACCCCTTTTACTTGCTGGTTCGATGGGTAGTGGTATGTTTGACTGTGATTTGGGAATGAACCATTTAGGGATCCCCTCAAAGGAAACCACGAGGCGTTTACCATTTGTGCTTAAGGTTCAAAGGCCTTGCTTGATCGAAGAGGAATCTTGAACTTTCACGCCCATCCAAGTCTCAAGTGTCACATTGTGACTCTTTCGTTTGCCCCAGCCTAGCATATGAGTGTGCCTTTTTTGAGAGCACGCCCTTTTCAGGAAGACAACAGAAAAAAATAAGAAAACAAAAGCACCATTTGAGTGGTTCCCGAAAAAGACACACCCTTATGAACAGGTCACCCTTTGGAACCGCAAGGAAAGTGGACACGATTGATGACCTCAGAAAGAAAGCCGTGTTGCCTCTTTGGCCCCAAGAGGGCGATTCGACAGTTTTGTGGGTGAGCGATTTGTGTTTTTGCTGCAAAAGACACACTGGCTTAAACTATCCTCTTTTCGGTTTCCTTTATATAGGTTCCTTCTGGTGTCCCTTTGAAAAAGGCGGAACTTTTTGGTCAAGCAATGGTTTGCTCAGGGCTCCTTCCTCCAAAACAGCACTCCCTGCTTCTATCCTTTTTGAGCGTATCAAAGCGGAAACGAAGGGATCCCCCATTTTGAGAGTCAGACACAAGCTCGTGGTTTCTGTTAAATTTACGGCCCCCCCCGCCCCAAAGTGGGCGCGGTTTTCCGGGTGGCTTTCCTTGACAAGCCCAGCACTGGAGTTCCCAACGAGACAAAAATGATTTCCCAAGAAGTTCCTCCGCCTGAGGTCCACCGTCCAGATCGACGTGGCTGCGCATCCACTATGGAGGCAGCGCCCTGGCTGGTTTTCTGGCGAAGGACGGGGAGAAGCGGTGAGACTATGGGGGATCCCCCAGATGGTTGTTGTTGGGAAACGTTTCACATTTTTGCTTATGGTGGTTTAGTGGGAAACCCCCGCTTAACTGCTTTTCTTTTTTTTTGCTCCCCTTCCAGCGTCAACCAAGCCTAGAAGACATTAAAAGAGAGCCTTTCAAGGAAGGTGTTCAGAACCCGTCCTTGGCCTCTTTGAACCGTCTGTGTTTGTTTTCCTCTTTTTTTTTCTGGTATCTTGATGGTTTTCTATTGCTCTCCCGGTTTCTGCTTATTGAGCGAGCCCCCAGGTTGGGCAACATTGAGCAGCTCCCCCTTTGCAGGAATCTCAGAGATGATGCTATTCACACCGTTGAACCATGCTGCAAACAGGTGACAGTAGTAGAATGGACAGTTCGGCCCTTAGGCAGTGGCCGGAGAGGGACTTGAAGGCAGGACCTTGAACGACACAAACACGCCCCGTCCACTGAGTGAAGCACGAGAGATAAGCCCCTCGCGAATGCAAAGCAACGCGCTTTTGATCAGTGCACCATTGCTTTTGGATCCGGCGGATGCAAGAGGTGATTGAGAGTCCAGACATTTGTCAGTCTTCAAGCGAAGCTCCCTGTCACCAGTGTAGTTCCACTTAAGGCGACTTATGGGTGGGTTATAACCCAAGTTCCCAACAACTTATTATTTAGTTGGCCGACCACCCAAGTGGCAAGCAAGGGAACCACCCTTAAACCAGAGGAACATAGCAATGTACTGGTAACATAACCTCCGCTAGGTGAGACTTCCAAGGGATGGCCACCCCCGTTAGAAAGCGGCGAAAAACCATTTGTTGAGAGGTCCCAAGGATTCTCCCAACAACCCTGCTGACAGGGGGAAGCTTACATAAAGAACCCTGTTGTTCGTGGGTTGGCTACCCACTTCCCAACTCGGCGAATCAAACATCCAAGCAGGCTGCTACACTGGCAGCATCGGACATGTTGGCGTGTTTTGGTGTGGGTTGTTTATCTGAACCCCTTTTTGGTCGGGTTTCTTAGTGCGGGTTTCCAGAAATGGCATGCCAGACATGTTGAGCCAAACCCATATTCCACATGTCACTTTCCACCCGTGCACCGAGGTGGCGCGGAGCTCCGAGACCTTGGGGCGAGTGGTGCAGCAGCTCTGCGACTTCTTCCACTTGGAGCCCCAGCGCTGCTGGGTGAACCTGAGCCTCGGATCTGGAGCTCTGGGCCCCTGGGGCCCGGAAGGACCAAGTGAGCCACAATCAAAACCCGGATGAAGGTTGGTAAGGGGCTCCCAACCACAAATAGCTGCGGCCGCCTTCCTAATTTTTTGCATGGTTCGGGGTAGACCATATTAATACCGGGTTTCGATTATGACTCAAGTCTTTCTGGTGGTTCAGGCGACCCTTTTCTGTGAAACAGATCTCATCATAGAATCTTTTTGTTGGTTGTTCCGGGGCACATGTGGGGTGGTGTTTGGAGTTGGAACCCTTTTCTGGGCCGGAAGGGGAACCACGAGGAACCCTGGCTTTTTGTTGGGTCCCTCTATGAGCCTCTATGTTGACACATGATTCGGTGCATGCCGTGGGCGAAACGATTTCTTCAATTTCTTTTGGGCGATTTGTTGGGCTGACTGCAGGGAGACTGAGACAAATGGCTCGAGCAGGATCCTTCTGGTGCATTTAAGAACGTCCAGCGTCACCGGCTCAGGTACCGCGGACACAGCGACGATCAGGCGGCGTTTCATCGGGACAACTTCGACGGTCGCTCCGGCGGACCTTCGGTGGACCTGGGCCTGTTCGCGTCCTTCGGGGCTCCGCGGAAGCTGTGCTGGGCCTGGGATGCCACTCGGATGTCAGGCCAGCTGGCCGCAAAAAAGTGACGATTCGTAAAGTTATGGTTAGTTAATACCCGGACCCTCAAAATACGCGTCAAAATTTTGAAGCTGACGCACGAGTATCCCATCTTTGTGGGAAGTTTGAGGGTCCAGGTAGACCCTGCGTTTTGGCTGTAGGGGGTACTGCAAGTTTTGAATTGGGGTTATCATGTTAGTTGAACCTGAAATCAGGTTTTGGTCCCGGACCATTTGGTCGGTCTGAAATTAGGGCGACCCCAAATGTGATTCTCCCCCTTGGTTTTGCTTTAAGACCATTCCAAAAAGGACTCTGAACCCTCATCAAGAAGAAGCTCCCATCGATGACTACTGTGTGAAACGGCCTAATCCTTTAAGACCTATGAAACAAATCAAAGTTGGCATGTGTTCTTTTTAGCATTGAGGTGAAAGAGGGGCTTCGCCAGGGTGATTCACGCCAACTTACTTTTCCCTTTGGACCGTGTTTTACCATGCAAACCCCCCATTTGACACCGTCAACCACCATAGGACACTCCCAAATAGGGTTGCTCCAAGGCTCTGAATGACAATTCACCCACAAGGATAGAGCGTTGGTTGGTTTTCTGTTGGACAAACCCTTGTCAAACTCCATTTTAGGCAACCAGAAGGAAGACAAAAGGAGCCTAGGTGTCCTTTTTGGTTGTTTTGCTCGCAAAACAGATGACCCTGGTGTACCTGTCTAATGATCTACCAGGGCCATCTATTTCAAATCCCTGAAAAGGACACCTTTCAAAAGGAGTCTTTCGTGGGGAAGCCAACATACCGAGCTGAGGAAGGCGGCCAGTCGCGCTGGGTGCTGCGCCACGGCGACGTCTTCGCCTTCGACCGCGTGGCCAACGGCGCGGGGCAGCACGCCATCGAGCCGGACGGAAGTGGTCACAAAGCTGTTTTTTTTGGTTTTAAGCTAGGTGCCCTTTTACCGTTTCTTTTTTTGGGGAAGGGTCTCCCTACTAAACTAGATTACGGAAAAAAAGGGTAGCCTTGTTCTATCCTATCTACTGGAGGACCTAGACAATGTCTGAGAGGGACATGGGGCGAGCAGCAGTTGACATGGTATTGCTGACCCTGGATTGGGGTGGTCCCCTCCAGACGGGAATAAATCCCGCTAAAACCAGTTACACCCTCATATTCATAAACAGGGGGTTTATTAACTCAGGGTCAGCATTGCATGGATGGCCATGTCGCAAATCACATGTACCCGGTGACTTAGAGGCCCTTTTTTGTGGGTAGTTTGGGCCGCGATGTTCCCACCCCACATGGCTGAGGGCGAGTTTGGTGGGAACAAGGCAGATATGTGGTGTGGTGGCGCGATTGTCCCGCTTACTGGTAGGTGGGAGATGTTGTGCTTAGGTTCTGCGGGTGACTGAAGATGCCATGTGTTCCCGCGAATCGAGCTTTCTACCATTGGTAGTGGTTCACATTTCTCCAACTTTCAAAGGCTCTGTTGGATCCTTTTGGTCCAACTTCGCGAGTAGGACATCTTTCGAGAGGTGAATTTGGCCAACTTCCAAGAGGTGAATTTGGCCACCAGGTCTTTTTTGCACGATCGCGCGGATCCCCGATTGCAACAAGTGATTGGATATTCCCTTCGTCAATGCTGTTGTCCTGCACGGTTTCCGGTGGCACTTCTCACGCACACATCTTCGGACGCTCAAGTTCTGTCAACACAGCATTTCAGACTTGCATTCAGTCACTGGGAATCAAGTTTCGCTGCCCTGTTCATTGACAACAATGAATGACGGTATGGGAGGGTGTGGTTACCGACCATTTGGGACATGGGGGTCGTGTGGTTATGAAAACTAGAACTAGTGGTTGGACCACCCTCACGAGTGGCTGGTAAACGTAAATCCTCATGTTGATTGGTTCGTGATGTAGGGACCAGTGAATTGTTTTGAGAGCTTGAATCCCTAAGATGTGCTTCTGGGCCTTGCAGCAGCATGCCGCCACTTAACAAAATTAGTGACTGTCCACATATTTGTAGATGCTATATGTTGTATTGTCTCTGAAAGAGGTCACCCGCACAATTGGTGTCCTTTTTGATTTCAACTGTCCAATTTCAAGCAACCCCGTTTCGTGGCAAAGCACGCCCTTCCGGCAATTGGGAGAACTGGTGAGCCCCCCCCCCCCCTGCCAAAACAAAAACGCAATGTGTGTTTGTGCGTTTGGTTTATCTTTTTTCACCTATAAATAGGGTAATTACCCTCAAAAAGCCCTGAGGACGAGTTGGCAGGGGACCGCATCTCTGTGAGCCTTTGGGGCTGCGGGCAGATCCCAGATTCGAACCCAGAGGGACCGCTGAGAGAGCAGCGGCCAGTGCGGCGGTGGCAAAAAGGAGCGCGGGAGTTGGTTCTCCAGTCTTGCCCGCCTCAGCTTGGCTGGGGTTATAAACCTCCCTGAAACGTATGAGGTTTACCCGATTTGTGTAGCCAAAGTGAGGCGGCCAAGTACTAATTACTCCCCTTCCACTCTCTTTGAATAGATGGCCCCTCAACAATTTGGTCCAACATCAGCTTTCTTCAGCAGGCGTTTAAACATGGGTGTTTCGCAAAACTGCGGACCCAGGTGGTTGGATTCTTACTAGTTTCCCTTTAACATCCAAAAAGGTGTTCCCTTTCTTGAGATAAATCCGCACCTGAACCCTCCAACTACCTGTAAAAAGGGAATTCACCAACCATAGTTTGGGGTTGCAAGAAGCCATTTTGGAAACACATGGTTCCCTTTGTTAAGACAAATCCATAAAGAAAGCTTGGTTTTTTCCCAGCCATCCCCTTAGCCGCTAGCCTTTTAGTTAACCCACTAAAAGTTAGTCACTTTTAGCGGGGGATCTGAAAACGGACAGCCCAGAAAAGGTGCTCCTTGCCACAAAGGTCCTGACCACAAAGCGCGACATCCACACCATGGGCGACTCCACACCTCCGGCGGTGGTATCGGCGCAATCCGGCATGTTGAGAGGCCGAAACATGGTTGTTATTGGGACACATTTTTCCAATTTTTGCTTATTGTGGTTTAGTGGTTGAAATCCCACCACTTAATTGCTAAATGCTAAAAATTAAATTGTTGCTCCCCTTCCAACGTCAACCAAGAAAACAAGAAAACAAGAAACAGCCCTGAAGGTTCTGCTTCTTGTTTGTTTTCTGTTTTTAGGGATCGGAGCCCCCCAAAATGGTGGTGTTCCGTTGGCTTCCTTCAAAAAACAAGACACAAACCAGGGGTTCCCTCCAAACAAGACAGACCCATATCATATGGACAACCCGCGGCTCTCAACACCAAGAGGCGTTTGGGCCCAAACTTTGCTGTTTTAATGTCCATAATATACGACTCCAGAACTGGATTTATCTGTGTCAAATTTTGTTTAGAGAATCCGCTTTTGGCTGTTTAAACGGAGACCGAAAAAGGGCACCAACCCATTGCGCTTGGGTGAGATGGAGGGCTTTGTCCAGTTGTGTGAGAGTGGAAGCATCGTAGTGTTGCCACGTACATTTTGTTTGTTGGCAAGAGATTGAACACCCACATCTGAATGCATGAGTCAATTTCAGTTTAACCTGTGGATCATTTTTGAACTATCAAGCCACCGCACATATGTTGAAGGCGTTTCTTTTAGAGAATTGGGATTCCTTCTTTTGCTCTGCCAACATACAATTGGCTCATTGATGTGGGGGATGCAAATCGGCGTGGACGCCTAAGCCACGGCATCGGGCATTGCAAGAGGACAGGTCGAAGCTGCCAGGTCTCTCCAGCTCACGCACAGACGGGGGTTCTCAGCAAGCCCACCTTTACGCGTCTTGGCAATTGGGGCGTGTTGCTTCGGCGCGTTTTGTGTTGTTTGCGTGTCTCAGCCAGAGTTGGGGTTCTAACTACAGCAGTGTGCAAAATGACGCACCCTCCCGATTTAGGTTTTGTCACCTCTTTGCTTATAGAGAAGTGCATAGAAGTGCCATCTACTTGATTCGAGAGGTTTAAGCCCCTTTCCGCCCGCTCTAAGGATCGTGTTCGACGAGGACATACAGGTTGGCGCCTCAGAGCCTGCCCTGAGATTTTCTCGGCATGGCCAGTTGTGAAGCCCATCTCAACCCTTGCCATTTGTCTCTTGAAGCGAATGGGGGCCCCTATGCAGTTGCCTGATTTCGCTTCCGCCTCCAACCAAATTCTCAGAACAGGGGGGGGGTCCCATTTTTGGACATGCAAAAGACAAGGCGGTTAGAGCAGGCAAACGAGAATCCCAAGATCAACACTAAGATTATCTCCCGGCAGTTGTGCTTTGCTTCGGGTGAAGAACTTGGCACTCCCGCAAAGTGACAAACCTGATCCTCCAGTGGGTTTATCTCAAAATTCGGGGACCCTCAAAACATTGGCGGTGTGTCCGAAACTTGCAGACTGGACTCGCTGCAAAGAGCGGTGGAGCAATGGGTAGCCGGTGCCACAATTCGCAGGCCCCTTTCAATGTCCAAACACCGACCCTCTACCCTGTCACGATCGAAGCTAGGGCCCAAGCAACCAAACAGCAAAAGTAATCGCTTCTCCCTCTAAAAAAAACGGGACGCGGGACCAACTTCCGCTTGCAACACTCGAATTGGTCGACCCGTCCCCAGGCGGGTACGGGCAACATCGTCTTTACGCCGGCGCGGCTTGGCGAAAGATCGGGTCCACTTGGAAGGGCCTTAAGAAAGCAAGACTTCATGCCGGGTTCAGGGAAACCAACTAGCAGGGACAGGGGGAACCAGGGATACGGGAGGATTCCCCCCAAATGCATCTTGACTAAGTTTGATATGGGAAATGTCGCCAAGGGAATCCCCCCATATCCGTATCCCTGCTTGTTCGTTTGTCCAACGGGCTTTGCTTTAAAGTTTGAGGGTTGCCCTTCTTCAGAGGTCCAAAAGGAAACCCACCCATTTTGGTCCTCCCGATTTTGACTGGGTTACCCATGAAGGCTCGCTGGGAATGAATCAGCTGAGCACATTCAACCATCGGTTGGGAGTTCTCCCGTCAAGGAGACCATGATGGCCGCTGTTCTTGGTTGAGCTTCCGCCAAGTCCAACTCGTGCAAATTTCAGCGAGCTCGTCGGGGGTTGAAGCGAGCTTACCCGTGAAGGTCCTTTTCTTGGGGGGAGAGTTCTTGCCCGAACATCTACTTGCGGTCTGCCTTTGTTGGAGCTGTCCAGGTGTGATCCCACAGTTTAGCCATACCAGCGCAGTCGCCCTGCACGTCCAATGCCAATCGGGCGAGTTTGGCAACCGTGGTTCCCCCCTTCCTCTAGGGGTAGTTTTCCCCATTCTTTCCAGGGATCCTTCTTTCTAGAAAAACCCCGGGGAACTGGCGATCGGTTTTTGACAAGAACGATGGCTAAGAATGGACAAGGCATCAACCCCTAGACTTCCCTTTTGGGAAAGCGCCGACCTAGCGCCGACCAAAAGAACTTGGATATCCGAGGCCCAAAGGCGACAGAGACTCGGTGAGACTCGTGCTCCGCTCTTAGGACCGGCAGCCCCATCTCCATGGATATCACAAACGCCTGGACCGCGCAGCTGGCGAAGGGTACGACGGTGGTTTTGGAGTTGAAGACGGGTGCTGGTCATTTTTAGGGGAAGCCCAGGTTGGTTGATTTTGAAAAAGAACCACAAGGAACACCGACTTTTTTGGAGGTCCCCTTGGAGACAAAGCCATACCTGTCCAGGGTCTTGCATTGATTTTCTCAGCACGCCGTGATATTGTTTGGCTCTGCATCGAAAGATCGAAGCTGAGTTCCTAGAAGGGAGCTCTGGCTTCGTCGCGTTACAATTCCTTGCCCATCTTGTCAACCGCAAAGCCTTGCCTGGGTTCAGATTTGGCATTTTTGTTGTTTTGGTGGTGTTCCTCCAGAGCCGTTCATAAGGCAAGATTGCGATTTTGAGACATCCCCGTGCCCAGAAAAGAAGGGCGTGGTTTGAGACTTCAAGGCACTGAGGGCTTTTGGCTTGAGCCTTCCGAGCTCGGTGCTGAGCAACACCTGCGTTTGAGCTTCCCAAGGAGGGAGGACCAGTCTTCATTTGCCAGCCTACAACCCAGCCTGCTATGCAACGAAACAGAAGTACCACTTCCGGATACATGTGAGTCAGCTTTGTTGTTTGCGTAATTTTACTTTGTGTAGGAGGCGTTTCATGCACATGTTACATGTTGTTTTTTGTTTTCTTCTCCAAACAAGATACGGGACGTCCAAAAAAAAGATACCCCAAAACCTGAGAAAGCAACAATCCACGAGAAGCAATACGGGACGCAACGCTGGAATGAATACACCCCAGATAACAAATTTGACGCTGGCTGTACCTTCGCGACCTGAGATCTCGTCCCGCGATGCCTTCTCTCTGAAGAGGGGCCAGCACGAAGTGCCAACCACTTTCAGATGGGTTTGCCGACACTGATGGACCTGGATATGAATATGTTGGGAAAACTACCTTCTTTCCCGCTGGTGCGGGAGTTTGTCCATCCACAGAGCTTTACATTCTGGAAATAAAGGTAGCTTGGACAACCAGTTTGCCGCTGCTGAAACACATCCTGGTTTCAGGCTGAGCCTTTTTTTGTCATCATCATGTCACTACACTGCACCATAGCCCAAAAGTGTCATGCTTAGTCCGGGACACGGCGCTTTGCCGCCTTCAACTTCGACCGCAAACAGTTCCATCCAGCCTTTTGTGAAGGAACTCGAGATCAAGGCAGCCCATCCGAGTGTTAAACGCTTGGTTTTTCTTTGGTTCCCCTCCAGGTGCTGCGGGGTTTCCGTTTGGTTCCTGTCATCACCCCCAGCCCCATGGCCTTGCCCGGCCAACGAGGTCAACACCGGCACCTGCGCACCTGCGAAGCTGGGCATCGTGCTGACCACCTTCACGGCCGGAAAGGGACGGTCCGGACGTGTCCAAAATGGATAGGCCAGTGAGACTTCCGGGGAAAAATTACATGTTGTTCAGGATCCGCTTGTTGCTTGGAAGAGAAAAGAGAAACCCACTTCTTGCGGCCTCACTATTCTACCATCAAAGTCAACCCTAAGTGGTGGGTTAAGGGGAAACAACCCCATTGTCTGACTTTGATGACCAGAAACCGTCAAAATCATGGCCCCAGATTTTCAGGCGAAAGGTGCCCTTTGGGTAGCGGAAACGAAAAGGAAACACCCCCACTTTTGAAGTCCCCTAGTTTGATTCACGTACCCAAATGAGCCAGTCACATGGATAAGCAGCATTTGAGGAAAAATGATTTGGGGGTGGTGGAAGCATCATCATTTAGAAAGGCCAAGCAGCAACATATTTTGGTGGTGACGTGGAGCTTGCAGTGTGCCTACGTATGTCTTCTGGAGTGTTTGAGTGTGTGTTTGCGATGTTGCTCGGAATTGTACGCTTGTCTTTGACCCATTGATACACGAGGGCTGACTGACAGCAATGCAAGAAATACACGCAGATCAAGCGCTGTCTGATGGCTCTGATGACTGCATGTTCTTGGAAAAGCGGCACCCGGTATCTATCTTTGACATCATTCCCGTTTCCGTGTCAGCTTTGTGTTTTAGGCAGGGGCATAACATGCCTACTGAGGGTACCCGAAACACAAATAACCTGGCTCCAACTTGCATCAGAGACCGCCATTTCGGGTCACCCGGCACCGGGCTTCCCAACAAAAAAACCAAGAACAAATGACCCTGCGCATCTGCATGGTCCTTTTGAGGTGGGTCAAAGTTTTTGGACCTCCCCGCAGTTCTTGCCACACCCCCCAAGAGGCTCTTAGGTCTTCAAGGTAGCCTGAGACCCCCCAAGATGCATCTGAAGCCGTGGGTTCTCAGGCCGATTGGGCCTCCTGCGGTGCCTCGTCCCCTCTCTCCACGAGCATGAACTGGTGCGCCATGCGACTCGTGGGCGTGGGACTCTCCGGCGACGGCTCTTGGATAGACGTCCTCGTCGTCAGAACCCAAGGGTCCAAGAAAAAAAACACTCCTCGCTGCTCGATTGACCTTGAAGACCTAGCGTACAGCTTAACTTTTGGCGGAGGTCAAGCGGCAACCTTTGTTGAGCATGGGTTTGGTTGAGTTAGAAAGGAATCGCCAAGGAAACCAAAGGTGCTTGGCACCCTGTGACTTGAAGTCGCCTGAACACCTTCAGACTACAATGCGGAGCAGGCTGAAACATGAACGATGGACATAAGACCCCGTGCACTTCAATGATGTCTACCAAAGGGTTTTGAGTGGAAATGATGTTCCGTTTGCATCACAAGCAGACTGTCATTTCTGGGCTGAACAGTTGGAAAGAGCATCAGCAGAAGATTGGCTCGTGACAGTTAACGTTCCAAGCGTGTCAAGGCTTTGGCAGGTTCTTGACATTTCCGCTTGGGCCTTCCGCGATTGGCAGAACGCGATGGGCTTCGCTCTGGTCCCCTGCCAGGTCAATACAAAACACACGCGTTGCTTGATTGAACTTTGGAGTCCGCTGCGGAAACGGAGAACTGTCGGGAATCCGTACATGCTTTTTAGGGCTAGATGTGTGGCTACGAAGAACCAACAAGGTATAGCTGCCATGTCAAGATGTCAATCGAGCGGCTCTAACTACAAGAAATCCGCGATGTGCCATTCGAGGTCAATGCTTCCTGTGGGAGTTTCCGTGAAAGAAACGGCCCAAGCATCTGAAAGTAGCCATCTCACAAGTGGATGTCCTGCCAGGTACGTCTCTTTCGTTGCTGGTGTTCTGAAGGCCTGGTGTCGTCACCTTCATGGGCAAAGAGCACACTCTCAAGGGATCTGCTTTTGGCAAAAGACCCTTTTGTCAATGTGTTCTATTAATTTGCAGGGGAGAAGAAACGTACAGGGAATCCTACAGGCAGTTAGCACACCTGTCTTTGAGGGAAATTCGGCTAACTTCCTGGGATGTCCTCTAGCTGGCTTTTTTTTGATGGACGAGGGCTTTCCCTTCCATAAGAATCGAATAAGATAAATATTTATATATTATATAAACTTCCGGCGTTTTATATAAATCTATAAATTTTATATATTATATAAAATTTATAGAATTATATAAAAATCGTGCTATATAATTATTGAAATTTCTTTATATAATTATTTAAATGATTTAAATAATTATATAAATAATTTAGATATTTACTTAAATTGTTTTGCCTAATTATATACATATTATAGAGAGACAGCCCTTGGAAATCAATCGCACGCGGGCGGATTTGTGCTTTCGGCGTTGTCTGCCGCAGCGGACTCATGGCTCTAAAAGCACGAAGGGAGCGCTTGGCGGCCGATCCCGGGCTGTCTGTGGCAGACTTAGAGAAGGCCATTGGCAACGCTTTGAGTCGCCTTGGAGCAGACTTGAACTACTTGGTGGTCGTGCCACTCAAGAACGTCAGCTGGACGTCGGCGCCATCGTCGACGTTGCCAGCATTGGCCGCGGCTCCGGACCTGTACGAGGAGCTCATGACGGTCGCGCCGAACACGGCTTTGCCTCCGCGCAAGTTGCAGGACGCGGTAAGCGCGTTGTTGGCTTCGGGCCAGATCTTGGCAGCTAAGGACAAGGTTTCCGAGCAGGAATATGCAGAACAGCTTGGCGATCGTCTGCGGATGGTTTTCGCCAAAGTTCGGTCTTGCGCTGGGGACCGAGCCACCGAGAAGCGCACCATGAGCAAGGCCACGGAGAAGCAGGCAGCAGTCTTGCGAGCTTTGCTCGCACGGTGCTCGTACAAGTCCCTGGGCCCGCAATTACCCATGTCGACCTCTAGTCTGGCAACAGCTGCTTCTCGGGAATCCGACACCGCCGTGCTGGATCTAGACTTCGAGGCCTTAGCTGGGCAGTTCGAGGACTGCCTTTTTTGGCAGTAATGAAAGGTGGGAGCTTTGAGAGCTTTGAGAGACTTTGAGAGTTTTGAGAGTATTTGAGAGTTTGGAGTTTTTTTTTTGCATTGTGAGAGTTTTGAGGGAGTAGGGAGAGATGTTGAGAGTCTTGAGAGCTTAAGTGCGGGGAGAGGTCTTAAGAGTGTTGAGAGGTCCGAGAGGCTTAGAGGATTTTGAGAGCAAAGGTTCTTGAGCGCTTCGAGAGACTTCGAGAGTTTTGAGGGTGTAGAGAGCCGAGTTTTGAGAGTTCTGAGCGCCGTGACGGCGACCTGATCTGGCCCAGCAAAGCACGCAGGACCTGAGCTCTGCTGCATCGGCCAAGCCGTCTCCGGCACGCACCAGCGAGAAGCGCCCTCCAGACCGCGTTGATGAAGATGCTATCCTTGCCGAGCTTGCCACTCAGTCCTCCGTCGAGATCCTCGACGTGAAGCCTCCCCCGAAGGTGTTGAAGCGGCCTGCAGCCGCACTGAAGAGACCGGCCAGCGCGCCCGCACCTCTTCAGCAGGCTGCTCCTACGACGGCGGAGGAAGAGATTCCGCGAGGCTGGCGGCCGTCGCAGTCTTTCGGGCTCATCAAGGTGACCGCGGCCACCGCAAAGGGCTACATTCAGGCCAAGGCCTCCGTGGACTCGAAGCCGTACCTGCTGTGCAATGTCGGTGTGCAGCGAGGCCCAGAGCAGACCCGCCTCTTGGCGGCGCTCTTCAGGAAGTCTGCCTCGGAGGAAATGCTCACAAAGGAGGCCGTGGTCACATTCAGAAACCAGCTGCAGGTCTAGGCAGCGCACGACCCCACGGAGAGCGACCCTGATTCGTGCTTATAAGACAAAAAACTTAAGATTGTCTCGCTTTTTTTTTCGGAACTGCAGGTTTGTTTCTCTAGCTTGCGTGTGACATCAGGTTTGTTTCTCTAGCTTGCATGCCCAGCTGGCTCCTGCTGCCGCGATGTGTTTGGGTCAAAAGGGCTCACGCCAATGGCCGCACGCTGGTACGTCACCAACGTGCCGAGCGGGTGGACCGCGCGGGCGCTGGAGCTCGCGCTGCCGGTGAGCAGCTTGCATGTCAACCGGCAGCGCCAAGCCCACACTGGTCTGGTGTCGGTCGTGTGTGAGTGCTCGCTAGAGAACACGGCGCTTCTGCGCCAGCTGGTGGCAGCGTATGGCTGGTACATGTCCCCGGGCCAACCGCCCCGGGGAGCGGCTGCCCCGCCTGAGCCCGCGGTAGGGGCTGCGAAGGCCACAGGACCACCGCCGCCCGCGAAGGACATGCGCGCATGCGTTCTTTCCTCTCTCTTTTTTTCACGAGTGCGACGCCACAGGAGCGGGGACCGGCCCAGACCAAGCCCGCGCCGGCGGCTGCTGCCAAGGGCCCACCCCCGCCGCTTGCAAAGGACACGCATGATGCGTGCACATTTTTAAAATTTTCTCGCTCCAGGACCGGCAGCCGGCCAAGGGCAAGCCCGGATTGGCCGCGCCGAAGACACCGCCGAAGCAGGGCCAAGGACACGCACATGTGCATACGTATTTCTGTTTGGCTCCACGTGGCGCCACAGGAGCCGGGACCGGCCCAGACCAACCCGCGCCGGCGGCTGCTGGGTCTGCCAAGGGCTCACCCCCGCTCGCAAAGGACACGCGTAGATGCGTGCATGTTTTTCCAAACGTGGCGCCCCGAGGACCGACAGCCGGCCAAGGGCAAGCCCGGATCGGCCGCGCCGAAGACACCGCCGAAGCAGGCGGCCAAGGACACGCGCATGTGCATATACGTATAGTTGTTCCATGTGTCGCCACAGGACCGGAGACCGGCCCTGACCAAGCCCGCGCCGGCAGCCGCGCGGCCTGCCAAGTCACCCCCGGCGCTTGCAAAGGACACGCATAGATGCGTGCATGTTTTTTCCAAATGTGGCGCGCCAGGACAGGCAACCGGCCCGGAGCAAGCCCGCGCCGGTCACACCGAAGGCACTGCCGAAGCAGCCGGCCAAGGACATGTGCAGTTTGTTTGTTTGGCGGGGTTGCGTGTGGCGCCCCAGGACCGGCAGCCGGCACAGGGCAAGCCTGCGCCAGCGGTCACTGCCAAGGACCCTCCTCCGGCCAAGGACATATGCTTTTTTTCTGCGCTACATGTGGCGCCCCAGGACCGGCAGCCGGCCCAGAGCAAGGCCGCACCGAAGACGTGGCCGAATCAGCCGGCGCCACAACCACCAAAGCCGCCACCGCCGGCGCCGCCGCCCCACTCAAGCGCTGACAAGAGTCGCCTGCCGGCAGCAAAGGCCGAGCCGGCGCAAGCGCCTGCAGCTGAGCTACCCCCGTGGGCGGTGATTCCGCCCGCGCAGGGAATCCGAGACGCCTCCACGACGAGCCAGCGGCTGTTTGGGAGGAGGAGAAGGGGCTGGGACGACCTGCGCTTCCATGAGAGGGTGGCCTGGATGAGAAGGCATCGACTGCCTCAAGGCTCCGTGGGCCAACTGCTGAGACGGCGGCTGGGCCCAACGTGCCGCAGCTGCTCGGTCAGACGCGTGCGAGGTCGCCCGCACGTGGAGGCCTGGGCCCGCGGAGCTGCGGACAGAGACAGGGCTCGGCGCGAAAAGGCGCCAGAGCGCGACCAGGCGCGGCCACATAGCGCATCTCTGTTCAAGTCACACCAGCCTAGTCGTCCTTGCAGGAGACGCGGAGACACTCTTCTCCGCGGCGGTCAAGGTCCAGGTCTCCAAGGCGCCGCAGACGCCAACGCAGACGGGCCGCCTCCAGCGCAGCCTCAGCAGCACCTCCGCTGAAGCGGCGTCGCGGGGCTGCGCAGGCCGTGGTATACTGCTTCCCAGAGTTGTGAGTTGTGAGAGTTTCGAGGGTCTTGAGAGTTTCGATCTTTCGGTCCTTTCGGTGTTCTGAGAGTCTTGAGAGTTCCGAGAGTCTTGAGAGTCTTGAGAGTTTCGGGAGTTGAGTAGTCTTGAGAGTTTGTAGGAAGTTTCGATCCATCGTAAATCGTAAATGTTCGGAGAGTATATTGAGAGTTCTGAGAGTCTT